CTTGTCTCCCAAGTAGACCATAAGTTTCTGGACTGTACCTGTTTTTTGCATATGCCTCTTCGTGCCCACCTCAGGGCCTTACCACAGTAGGTGCTCAATAAATAGGAGATGGCCAGTGGAAGTAAACACTCCTCTCTTCTCTGGGACTTTCCCTTTTGCCTCTTTTTACTGAGGCCAAACCATTGCTTCATAAACACATGGAGACAGTGTTTTGCAGAGAAATGAATTGTAACAATGAGTAACCAGCACAGGATTTTTACAGACTCCAGCTTTTATTCCTATCAGGGGTCATTTACTTTCAGAAGACGTTACTCTGAGCCCTTTGTGGCGAGGACAGCCTCGTTGATGCTCTGGGTGATGTAATCTATGTTGTTGGCATTGATGCAGGAGAAGTTAATCCGACCATTCTGGGGGATGTAGATATGCTTCTTCTTAACCAGGTATTCCACCTGCTGGACTATGATAATCACAGGGTCTCAGATCTTGGCGTGGCCACCTCTAACTCCCTTTTATCCCAGGATTATGGGGGATAGGGAGCATCAGCATTTCTGGGAGTCCAGAACGGTCTTTAAAGCAGCCCCACTTTCCAGAGGAAATAATAAAAATCTGGAGCAAAGCTGGGAATGGTCACCTAGACAATGAGTTTAATATTCAAATGTAGGCCCAAGGTCAGAAGAGAAGGTGACAGTCACTCTCTCCTAGACACTTACAGTTGAGTCCAAGATAGCCATGGGTCCCGCTCTGTTCAGTGATGTGATCCCAGGAACCAGGGGTTCCCAGGAGTCGGAGCTTTTCCTTCACCTTTTCCTTGATCAGCATAATGTTTTCTACAACCTCTTGCAGATTCTGCTTCCTGCCAAGGAAGGATGGCAAGAAATGAGAGAGGTCGTCTGCCCTCGTTGCCATTGCATTCTTCTTCCCTTCAACAACCCCCAACAAGTGCCCTAGGGCACACCGGTGGACTGTGGGCTCTGGGTGATGATGAATAGGAGGGACGTTTGATTCCATATTAAGCAAGCCAAGCAGGCTCCCAGGCAGATTCGGCCAGAGCAGCAAAGCCCCGATGGTTTCTAATCTCCTCCTTCAATCTGGAAGAGTGTGAATAACTCATTGGCTTGTGTCTAATACGAATGTCCTATCGCCCACTCCCCCAGGGTAGGGCAATCCTGGTATAGCTACTGCCGTAGGTAAGCAGGGGAGCTTCAGGAAATGTTGATGAATGAATTGAGTGAACAGAATAAAGAAGACA